CATGTAGCTTTTTAGTTCCTCATCATGCTAAAAGGTTGAATGGAGTCAGGGTATCTTTTTGCAAGTCTCCTGTCCCAGTAACAACATTATTGCAACTTTCAGGGAAAAAGAATCCAAAACAAGCTGTGGATATGGGATGTGACTGGAGAATGTGTGATGACCAAAAGAGCCTCATTCTCTGGACAGACCTTAGTTCAATTGTCTCAAATTATATAATCACTTAAGTCTTCTTTGTCCCTCCTTAGCAAATATTATCCATCCATTACTGCTTTTAAGATACTCTGTTTTGGTAGCAACCTCTTTCTGGTACTCTGTTCCAGACAATGGTTTCAAAAGGTATGCAGTAAGAATACAGACTGCATGTCTGCTGATTGTATTTTGACTTATGAACACCATCAGACTATTTTTCTACTATCACTCCTGACTGTAACTAGTATCTGTACAAAGTTGTAGCTAGCAGCATTCGAAACATTGAGCTGCATAACTTCAAGTTTTCATACTTTACCTTCCATGCACCAGGCTAAAGTTTTCAGGCTTTCTTCTCACAGTAGCTCTTGAAGTTTTATTTGTCTTACTTCCAGTAAGTCTATCTACTATTGTAGATAATTCCTCTTTTTAAAGATCCAGAAATAAAAGTACATTAATACAAATTGCTTCCAGGACTGATTGGGTTCTTATCCTTCTTTTATAAGTTGCTCAAAACCGAGGCAGTATCAATGAGAAAACTATATATATATAACAGTACCAGGAAACAGTTTTATGGCTAAACCCTAGCTAATATGCAGCAGAACATAAACAGGCATTCTATTCATAAAAGTACAATTAAACCAGAAGACAAGAAAAGACTGGTTAAAGATTTGCAAAGTTAAACATCAGTGGTTTTAAGCTGTTAAGTAATGTGAGAACAAGCTTSTTAGATTAATTGTTGGTGCAAACTGAAATTATTTTTCAGTATGTTGAAAATACTTTATTTTCTCTCCCTTCTTCCCCCTTTTAAATTTTTGCATGGGTAAAACACTTAAAAGCTACACTTGCAGCTCATCTCTTCAAGGCATAGTACAAGGCACAGTGGAGAAATAGATTTATAAGGACAAGGACAGTGACTTCCACAGCAGTCGGAGGCATTGCTGAAGGTTTCTCCCTTTGCTCACTTTGTATGGGAGCTTGATCAGAACTGCTGATTGGCTTAACCTGTTTCTCTTTCACTCTTGATGCCACTGGCTTGGTCATTGTGCATTTATATGGAAGTTATATTTTTCATAAGCGAGCTTTCCTTGAAGAAGGTAAGAAAAGAAAGATTTTATACTCACCATGTAAAAAAAAAAACTAGAAGAAAATAAAAAAAGTCTGCTGCTAGGTATTGGTTTTGGAAGTTATTGAATTTTTACACAACACTGCACTACCACAGCTTTGTCAGAAATGTTCTTTTTGTAGGAATCAGATTTTTAAGAATAATGACAGTTAGTGCCATCTCTCAGGCAAGATGAGTTTTATTAAATGTTTCTGTTAAGTTTGAATGGCAAAGACAGCAAAGTGTTATCATTACCATGCAGAAATAGATTATGTCTGTGAGGAATACAATAGGCTTATCAAGTGTGTTAATGTATGTGCTGAACAGATCAGAAACACACACCAAGAGTTAATTTAAGGCTTGTTAATATGTTTATGTAAACAGTGCATTAGGGAATCGGCAATCAAAAAAAACAGACCAATACTGTGTGAAGTATCACCACATACTTTTGTCTAGCATGAAGTGTAAAAATACGAATATGAATGCTAACTTACTCAGCACTGTGATCAGCCTCACCAGGTAAAAGGCAGTGTCTCACACCATAAAATGTCCTATACTGCTTACCTTCTGCATACAGTCTTGCTGTTAAAACTTCCTCTTACACAGAATGCATGTTTCCATAACAAATTACAGCCATTTAATGGCACAGAACGTTTTCCTCTTGCACAGCTGAGAGCCAAGAATGGTTCTGTGACATACCTTCCCTAGTTTGTCTTCTTAACTAGATGAAACTGCTGAAGTTCACTGGTGCCAGACCTTAACATGCCCCCAGAGGCACCATGGGAGTCCACCTTCCCTGTTAGAACACAAAGCTCAGGATGAAACTGTCACTGCTATGACATAGATTGTTTACTGTTGCATTAATTATTTAACAATAATTTGTCACATTCCATATAGAAAAAAGTCAAATTGTTTTTCAGGTTGATTGAGATTGACAGTAGCCTCTTTTCTCTTATGCCAGCCAAAGCATTAGCATTTATCTGTGGGTCTCATTTTTGGCCTATCCCAAGGCAGGATGAAACCTGGGTGAAAGATAYGACCCATCAGTCAACAATGCATCCTTTTGTGAGGGGATGAGAGAAAGTGGTACCACTTGGTGGCAAAATACTTTCTCTGCTCCCATTTCATTATCACAAGGAGAGTACAGCAAAACGCTGTATTGCTTTTCATATTTTGTAGGTATTCTCAGTATTGCCCGTGGGAAAAACTAAGAATTAATGAGAGAAGACTGAAGATTAAACATGTGTTTGAGAGTGTAYACATGAATACATTGGTGTTATACCATTATACCATTGTTATACCAATACCCATTGATGTTCTTATATATAAAATCCATCTTAGGCTTTTTCTTCTTTCAACACGAGCCTTGSGCCATGTTTTCACTGTAATGATAGCTTGATTAATCTACACTTGGGTGAAGATCCTCTCAARTTAGTCTGATTTGAACGAGAGGCATTGTGCTTCAAAGTAGTGGTGTTTGGATAAGCAGCAGAGAAGTTCAGTCATGTCTCCTTACCAGCTGCAGAGCGGGCTGCRTGGCTGTTCACTGGCTTTAAACCACGCTTTACTTATGAGACAACTAAAATCAGTAAACTGTTCTTTCCTTGGAAATCTCTCTTCCATTTTGTACTTCAGATTGTTCCTGCTGGAGGAAACCAGCAGAGATGGGAAAGATTGCCTTTGCTTGAGGAATTACTAGCATTCATTCARTTCATCTATTCTTAGATTAGAAAATGGAAACTGAGGAAAGGGAAATAAAAAATTTACTGTTTTCATTTTTTTTGTAGTATGAATATGCCAAGTTCTGTCAAAACAGAAGTAAATATTTCAGAAGCCACGTCATGTTTTTATCCACAAAAAAAAACCAAAAAAAACCATGGAAAAATGGCTCAAGAGAATTAAGAAATGAAAGAGAAAGGCTCTTATTTCTTAGACACTGCAGAGGGGCTGGCAATACCCAGTTGAAGGACAGTAAGAGAGGAAAAAGTAATAGATATRGAGAAAATCTGTTGAAAATGAGAGAGAGATGTATGAAAGGAAGTGAATTAAAAAGGGAGGAGAACCTGAAGAGCTGCTTGTGGAAATAAAAACATGCAAGAATAGCGTGTGAAGGATATTGATGCTAAGATGAGAAGATAACAGCTTTGGCAGAATACTGCTCAGGATGATCCCACAGGCCTACAGTACACCCATGGTCAGAGGGGTGGTTTTCAGCTGGGAAAGACTGACACTGTCCTGTAGATCTGACAGAGTAGCCAAGATGCTGGGAAATGTGCTTGGTCAGATGTGTTCCCAKTCTTTCAGCTTATGCTGCTGGCACACTGTTTGTACCTGCACTGGTAAGGGACACCAGAGGTGCTGGATGAGGCAGATCTGTGGGACTAGGAAGTAGTGAAAAGCACTCTTTGACTCTGCCTTCTTTTTGGCCCTGGAAAGTAAGTAGAGGTTTCTCCAGCTATACTAGGAAAGACCTCTCATGTGATGTGTGCTGCTTTTACAGTCACTTTTCTGATCACAGTGGCCATGTTTTTGATAAATCACTTGAAAATGAAAGTAGCAATTGCCAAAATAAATCCAAACAGAATAGTACTGAAGCACTTTTCTCCAAATMAGTTCAATAGGTGTGTGGTTTTTTGTTTGTTTTATTACTAAAAACACCTGGAATAGTTTTACTCCTTCAAACCTTTGGAACAAAAAATTTCCAAAAGAAGAAAACTTAGTTTAGACAAGAGAGAAACCACAGTAAGAAATTCTTAATGCACTGCCTCATATGAAAACAAGTAAAAAAGTAACTCTTGAAGCAGCAATATGCACCAAGTATACATCTAAATACTTCAATTTGTAAATGGTTGTTAATACTACCTATAAAAAGTCATGACACCATGTAATCTCAGATTCAGTAATATAGCTTTTCCAGTGATTTTTGATGTGAGACTTCCACAGAAACATGGGTTTCTTAGCTCTCTCTTCAAAAGGTTATCTAGTTGCAACACTGAGATAAGTCTTGATTATCAGCTGCAGTTTCACAGCAGTACTCCCAGCTATGCCTGAATTTCACAGCAGGAAAATATATCATATGCATTTGTCCTAGAATAAGTWAATATAAGCCAAACCAATAATATGTGTTTTCTTAAACATAGATTTCTAGATATATACAATTTTAACATGTATATTAGAAATCCTACTGAATAACTCAGCTGCTTTGTTCAGTTTCCTGCTATTCCTGGAAATAATAGCAACCCYCTCATCCACCTCAGAGATCATGATTTGGTAATGGAGGTTGTAGTGTAAAAGCACATTTAGCAAGGTGAGAGTTAAGTAAAAATCTCTTTAGCAGAAACATGTGCACACACAGGACTGCTCTATGGTGAAATTGCTTATCCAGCTGGTACAGGTCTTAGTTYGATATTTACTTAAAATTTGAAGATACCAATAAAAGAAACTAGTTTTCAGCCATTTTTGGGGTGAATATACTGCTTGTTGGTTTTCACAAACCTTGAAAAAATTGCTTTATCATCCTTAAGACTTCTTTTGCACCTTTGCCTGAATTTCAGCTCATGTTAGATCCTGTGATCAGCCTTCTGTGTACTTTGATCTGTGTATTATAGTTTTGGGACTCTGTTTATACTGTTAGCTGGTGTATAAACTTATCTATAGTTATTTATTAATCTTCTCATTATACTGATTATGGTGCTGTGGTATTTTTCAGTGTACCTTGAGGACAGTTTTGTGAAATCCGGAGTATTCAACGTGTCGGAACTTGTGAGGGTGTCAAGAAGTAAGTTATAATTTACACTTAATGATTTCCAAAACCTGCTGTAATCAAGTGAAGGTTGTTTCCTTGAAGCTTTTTCTCCACAAAATGTAAGATGCATAGGAAACGCCTATAACAATGTTYGATTTTTATATATTTGACCACAGTAATTCAGTCCATCTTGTATGTGTTTGCAATAAAACAATTTGGTCTCCTTCTGYCTCTTTGATATTTAAAGATGGAATCAATTTGTTGCATCTCCCTCTGCACACCTTACTGGCCTGGTGTATCAATAGAACTACCATATGGAGCAAAACCTCCTGTTTTTAGACTTACAGTTTTTWAAGAGTGCCCTACAAATCCTTGGACATGATTATTCTTCTAGTTTGTTTTTTTAATTTGTAGGTCTTGAAATAAAAGTAATTTTATAGATGTGAATGTATTAAATGCTTGTGTCTCTTCTAGTCACAACAYTGGCTGTAATTGAAGTTCTAATTATATTGTCTCATTTTGGTATCAGAAATATTACAACATGAAAGTGCAAAAACCCCCACAAAATAAGAATATAAATGTACAGGTGAAACTTCGATTGTGGAAAGAAAAACCAAAAGAATATAAGATCTCATTGCTGACATCTAAGRATTTGTTGTAATAGTAGAGCACAAAGCCTGTCCACATTTTCATCTTGCTCTACTTTAATCAGTACTATTAAAGTATTTCTTTCAAGACTTCATTAGGAAATGAAGAATAGTTGAAAATTATTATTAGTTAGAAGTGCCCACAGTGATAATACTAGTATTGTAAAGACTGAATGGTTCAAAAAAATAAGTTTTTTAGTGAGCTGAGGACAAAGTCAATGAGGCACAAGCTTCCAAATCTGTCTATCCAAATTTTGTACAGGTGTTAATTCATGCAGGGTCAGGATGCCTGAGGAGTTTAATTAATGAACTGAGGCTTCAGATTACATGGGTTTTTTGAATTGCTATGGTCAGAAATTAATATTCAATGAAAAATTATGTTAAGTCTTTYAGCAAAGCAGTAGCATTGCCATCTTGCTGTGCTAAGGCATATCCTTTTTTTGTGCTTGCTAGGTATGGTTTTGCTGGTTTAGAAGGCTGAGGATGTGTGAATTATAGCTTTCTTTTAGTTGTCAGGTGGTTAAGTGCATTTAAAGTATCAGGCCATTCAGGTTAAAAAAGAAACAATATTGTAATTATGCTGTGAAACTGTGCCTCATGCAGCTGTTATACATGATATACTTCCAATAATAAGCATTAAAGCATGTGGTTTCTGTGGGATTTCTTACCATGCATTTGTTTAACCTCAAGCCRCAACAGAGTTGTACTTAAACTGTCAGGAAAAATACAAACCTTCAAATGCATTGCACAACATGCAATTATTCTTTTAAGTGCCAAAGGTAGTTAAAATGCACAATGCACAGACAATGAACAAAGGTAAATACACCACAATATGTAATACATAATTTATTCTTCAATTGCCAGAGCCTGTATGGTACACAGACTCTGTAAGGAGGTGAAGGTAGTGTGTAGGTCTACATTTGCAAAGCAGAATCTGTGGCTCTGGGTGAAAGAAAAAAAAGGGCAGAAAACCAACCTGTGTGCACAGGAGACTATTATTATTACAAAAGGGTTAGCACTAAAGAAAAAGGAATTTGTGTGTTTCTGAGTTTCTTATTTCCATTTTTTCCAGTTGTTCAATRAACTTTGATACAGCTGTCCTCATAAACCCTGCCTCATTCAATATAGTGCTTGAAGTTTGCACTATCTTTTTCATATTGGTGATTCCATGTTCTCTCTTATAAAACAAATGTATTATATCTGCATAATTGCTAAGGGTTTTCTAGGTACTAGGGAAGATAATTCACTTTTTCAGATATWTAATAATTGATAGATCTTGGTTTGTGTAAGAGGCAGAAAATTAGATACAGGTAGTAACATCTTGATATTTTTCCAAGTGTTAGAAACAAAAAGATGGCTGAAAAGATAGAAGATTATCTCTGACTTGTTATGATGATGTGTTTTTCAGCACCCATAACCCAGGGAACTGGAGTGAACTTCCCAATTGGAGAGCTTCCGAGCCAGCCATATTACCATGATATGAATTCGGGCGTAAACCTACAGAGGTCTTTGTCCTCTCCACCAAGCAGGTAAAAACTTGAAATAAGTGCTAATTTGAGCCATGTTTAATACTGTAGGACAAACAATTCACAAAGCCTTTCAACAACCAACTATTTTATTATTTTTCTCTGATTTTGTGAGGCTAGCTACTTACGTATGTTACCGTGTTCTATGTACAGATGTGTAAGTTATAAATCTTGTAACTTGAAATGGTGTCATTWTTGCCTGTCATCTTGCATGACATTGAAGATGGTGAAAATTTCTGTCAGGGTTTAGAGTGCCCACTGAAATCATCTGTCAAGGGAACAGCTACACATCCCAAAACTGTTGTTGAGCTGCAGGAAGGTCCAGCAGTTGGGAGCATGCTGGCAGAGCTCAGGGTGCTTGCAGACACAAAGGCTGTCTTTTAGGGCTCCCTCTTGAAGCTCCATCTTGTGCGATCCATTTGGACAGATACTGTTTCCTCTAGAAGAGGTGTTAGGACAGGTATATAAAGACAAGGCATTTCCATCTCTAACAGATCACCTCATGCAAGGATGTTTCCTGCCTCACTCTTTCGGGGCACATTTCCCAAAAAAGTGGAAAGAAGAGAAGCATATGAGATAGTTATAAGTTAATTTTTCTCAGGGGYCTCCATGTGCCTGCTACAGGCAATTTAATCTGAGGGACCTGCTTCCTCTGTGTTCAACATGCTCCCTTCTCTTGCTGAAAAAGATTCCCATTTCCTCCCTTGGGAGCAGCTGGAGGGCCCATGGATGTAGAGAACCAGCTGTTCCCTCCTCTTGACTCCCAGATAATGTACTGTCTGTCAGACACCTAGGTCCTTTTGGTATCTACACGGTGGAATTATAAGTACTATGGGAGCATATATTTATATATTTATATTTATATTTATATTTATATTTATATT